TTACCTACGTATTCTCTCTCTCTCTCTCTCTCTCTCTCTCTCTCTCTCTCTCTCGGATACCGTGGAATACCAAGTTGTTGTAAGGAAGAAACAATGCAAAGAAAATGATGGTGGTATTTGGGTGGAAGAACAGCCAGAGTACCACAGGAAATAAGCCAGAAAAACCAAGGGGTGAGCTCATGGATATCGTGTGATTAAATGTAAAGAAAAATTCATGCTATGGCCCAGAAAAAAGTAGTCAGCATATCAAGAATATTCTCAGACAAACATGAAAGCAAGCTGACAAAATTATGGGGTTTTCGCCAAAGACAGTAACGACTGTACAAAAGGGACCACTAATCAGAAACTGTATCAGGAATACAGGTCAAAAACACCAGACCTGCAAGCAGTATATATCTATTGGAGAACTTCATGGACATGAAAATCCATGACAGAAAATAATCCCAGAAGCGATCTTGAGAAAGAGAGAGAGAGAGACCTGGGCTGCCAAAGAAGGCCAGGAGGGGGGGGTGCAGGGGGGGCGATTGTGTTTGCATCTGAGCCAGGAGGCTTAGCCTAGGGAATGTCATGTTTTCTTTTTCTTTTTTTCTTCTTTTTTTTCTTTTTTTGGAGAGAGAGGAGGGGGGGGGGGTTGCAGAAGAGAGAGTCCAGGTGCTGAGGTGTCCGTGAGAGTGAGGAGAGAATCCAGGGAGGTGGGTTTGTTACCTGTTTGAAAAGATAATCCTCACTTGAAGAACCATTGGCAGCTAGTCGGTTGATCAATGATGCATCTTCACAAATTATAGATGTGCAAAAGCTTCATTCCCAATATGCTCCCAAAAAGTAAAAGTTCATTTACAGGTCTGGATAAATGCTAAAAATAAAGGTTACCATTTCAAAAGATCTCACCCACCTCCACAGTATTCTCAATCAAAACCAACATTACCTAACATGTCACAAGGTCAAAGGAATGTTTTCAAACGCCTACCGTTCAAAACACACCCCAAATGATAGATATGAACTGCAATTTCTATATTCTAGCTCAATGAGTAATGTCTTTGATCACAAGAAAGAGTAATCAAAGTGGTGATCATATCAGACAGAGTAAGGGGTGTCATAGCGAACTATCCTAAAAACAGCACTAGCACTTAATATAGGTCCAAGAAGGAAATTATCAAAATAATAACAAACCTTCAAGAAGTGCACAGCCAATTCTGCTTGGAAACCATCTCCCATTTGGATAAGCGCATGATCAGGTTTGTTCTTCAACATTTTGATGCGCAATATATTTCCATATATGGAAAATAGATTGAAAAGCTTATCTTCATAGATTTTCTGCACACACACATACACATAGAGAAGAAAGAGAGCAGTAAGAAACACTGAAGTTGCTTAAGATAGCAGCAGAGAGGGGAGAGAACGTACATCAGGGTTTAGATTGGAAACAAGGAGAGTACATCTGTCATTAGTGCCAGTTATTCCTGGAGGCAAGTTTCCACCAAATGCAGCTGCAATGGATGAAGCAGCGCCCATCTAATTCAAAAATAAAGAAAGAGAAAAAATCACCAACAGGCAACAAACCCATATCCACATCTTAGTTGCTCACTAATATAACGCCTGTAACAGAAAACAAGGGTTAATTTGTTCTGCAAAAGACAGCACCTGGATAGGGCCCAAACCAACCCCACCCACCTGTGGAAAAGCCACTGCAAACACAAAACATCACTCAGCAAATTGCTGAAAATGCACCAGAAGAAACAATGACGAAAAACTATTTATATAGAGGAAGGCAAGCAATTTTAAATAAAGGTAGGTAAATTGAACAAGGAATATTCAATGGACTATGTGGTCCATACTGTACTCGTTCACCAATCCCCGACACATGTTTGAGGATTTTTTGAATCTGAATTTTTTTATATTTCTTGATTAACCTTGTGACTAATTTCCAATTAAAAAAAAATGATTTTGAGCTCTTAACACACAAGACCATACACCCAACAAATGGATGGTCCTGATTAACAGAGTGGGGATTCATTTGGAGTATGTTTTGAGCTCTATATCTTCTATTTTTCTTATATCAATTTTAGAGATGACTGAATGTCTCAAGGGTTTTGGGGTCAAACAAATCCTCCTTAAATGGTGTTTGGGGGATTGGTTAACTTGTATGGAATGGATAACGATGTAAGTTATTCCTATAATTTAAGATCAGCACCTGGCCTGCCTCCTCCAGGTTGAATGCCATATAGACCCCCTGAATCATTATAACCAGGCTGCTGGAAAAAAATATGAAGAGACATGAGTTAAGCAATATCATTGGGAGCCCATTTCCAATAATAAATATAGACCAGATTAAATTTTTTGGTCACCATAATCACCAATACCCATATTTAAGCCCTAAAAACCACAAGCCCCAGACGATAAGAACAAAAAGAACTAGTCCTAGAGACATGACCCACAAAGACAAAACAATTACTTTCCATCAAGTGTATTTGCCCACACGCAATGGAAGAAATATACAAGTGACCATCCTATTAAACCCCAGGTCAAATATTGTACCATAGCTCCTTGTGATGATCTTCCTTTCTGGTCAGCAGGCAAGGAAGGATTTGTGAAGTCCCTGCAGAGGTATAAGAAATCAGATTCATAATAATCTAAATGTAAAAATTATCTATAACTCTTCAACTGGTAAATCACTTCTGGGCCCAATGAATGAAACTAAAATCTACAAAGAACACTGAATTACCTAGATCTCTCATTGTTGAAGTGCACTTGCAACTCGGTGAGACTGAAAAGCGAGAAAAAAGAACGAGAGGGGAAAGTAAGAATTTCAGCAAACATAGAGAACTGAATAGCCGCGGAAAAAACAAGAACGACCATATAGGAAGCTGATAAATCAAATTCAAACAGAATGAAATAGATGAAGAATGTACTTTGAGAATTGGACATCAAGCTGACAGCAACCATCATAGATATTGCGCCCCTGCAGAAAAAAAGAAAAAATGAAAAAAAAATACATCTTAGACTTTCATAAGTCCACAGCACCAAGTTTCCTATAGACAGGCTCATAAGTGACAAGTAATACCTGAAGAGCAGTTCGGGCCTGAACAGCACTTTGGAAAGCTTCGTATTGAATAAGGGCCTGAAATCCTGCACCAGTGCAACAGCAACATCAAATACTATTTACCAACTGAATCAAATTAGCTACCTAAGGTCACTGCAAGCGATAACTGAAAAGGGCATGCAAAAACACCATATTCAATAACAAAGAGAGTTCTTGACAATGTTCTGCATGAAAACTGCACGACATCAACCATCAAAACAATCTTCAAGGCAGAAAGAAGGGATAGAAGAAAAAGAATAGATAGAGAAAACTAGAAGAAGCTGACCGGCGGCCTTCTGAAATGTCACAATCTTCTCCACATAACCATAAGGGGAAAACACTTGATGCAGCACTTCCACTGTTATAGGATAGAGCAGGTGATGAACTGTAACTAAGAGTATTCGATTGGTCTGTGAATCCTGAGCCACCGACAGCAGGCCAGCAGAAAAGAGACAAGAGAGAGAAGAATATTAAAGAAACCAGATAAGCAAATAAAAGATAAGAGAAAGAGTCACCAGCCATTCCATCAGAGAACAGCTTTGTCATACAATGAGTCGGATATGAGAAAAATCATAATTTGCGTTTTCATTTTAAAATGACCCTTAATCCAATGTTTCCCTTTCTACGGCATATCATTTGACAAGCTCTTTTGTTGAATAATTAATGTACTATGAAGCTTTCTTTAAGAGGACTAGTTTCAGTTTAGTAAGCCTTCACCTGGAATAGAATTTTACCATGTAATATTCAGAAGAATGGATATTAGAATCACTCAAAGATGCCCATTAATGTGCAAAATGTCTGTTGACTCTTCTAATATAAAGAAATGAATGTGCAGACTCCTCTAATCTCAAGATGTACATGCCACAAAATTGTATATTACATAGATTCTTAATATACTATCAAAATCACTGAACAACCACAACTGAACACAAGTAACAAAAAGTCAAAAACCAACAGGAAAGAGGAATTCCTATCCAATATCTGATAAAATATGGCTAGAAATATATATCTTACAAACCTGATCCCCATTATTGCGTCCCTGACCATTTTGGTCCGCTGTTGTCAATTCTTGATGAGACGAGAATTGAATATAAACATTTCTACCCCTAAAAGAGAAAAATAACATTTGAGACAAGGTTACTAAAAAAAAAAAACCAGAAAAACAACTCCTTGCCAAAAAAGTATTCATGTGATACGGAGGAATAACAGTCAGCATCAGTTTTTCCTAAAAGACGTCAGAAATCATCCCACGAACATTCACCAAAATTGAATGGAAAATACACGAAATGGTATGACTGGATTTGCTCATTCATACTGAGGTAAAATATAATCTGAGACGATCTTTTGACAATAAAAATAGCGATCAGATACGGAGCATCATCCAATGCATACCTGATACTTGGCTGAACGGTTGTATAGTATTGCAATGCATTGACAGCAGAAGCCACATCATGCATTTGCAGAAGAGCCTATATGAGAAACAATTATATTGATGAAATTGGAAAAAAAAAAAAAATACATGCAAACAGAGACAGAGTAATCACTAAAAAGTTCAGCTCCTAAATGTATTAATAACCTGATTCTTTGCACGTAGCATCACAACTTTCATAACAGCACCAAAAGGTTGCACCAACTGATGTAGGTCATGCTGAAATAAATAAATTAAAATATGGTCAGAGACAGCACAGGCAAATTAACAAATGGTTTCATGATGTAGTGACAAGAGATCATCTAAAGTACCTCTGATATTTCATGTCCAACATTACGGATGTGAATAACTTTGGAAGGTTCTACCATCTTGAGGAACCTGTGCCAAACATAAACTCTGTTGATCCAAAAAAATTTAAATGCAGATGTAAGACAACTAATTAATAGTTGGGATAAGGCTCGAATGATGATGTGAAAACAACTGATTCTAAACAGTGTGCAACTTGGTCAGATCAAATATTCACAAAAAATGAAATCTAAGGTCTCCATAAAAATTAAATGGTATTTATCCCATTTAACAGCAAATGCATATAGATAATACAGAGTATAATTGTATCACACTTCTATCATATAAGGACTTAAGAATTTATAGGGCACTTCACCAGTGATCAATACCTACATGCCAAACCACTGTAGGAAAAATCGGAAGGTTCAAATCGGAACCACCTGGTTAGATTGGAACCAGCCAGTGTGGCCGCTTTCGGTTTCAGCCGGTTTTGGTGAACCAACTGGGTATTTTAAAAAAAAAATCAAAAAAATATATATAATTCCAAAAAATAAGGGATTTTGTTTATAATGCATTTTTTAATGTTCTTTATCATTTTGGCAAAGATTGGAAATTGTTTTGGCCATTAATATTTATTCTTACATTTTTCCCATCTTTGTTTGGAAAATTTCAAAAATACCCATTGGCACAAATCGATTCTCTAAAATCCATTTTTTCATTAATTTTCAACTTCACTTGGATGTGCTTTGTTTAATCATGCTTTAAATATACCTTTTACATTTTATTAGATTTTCTTTTGTATTTTTCTTTTTAAACACTTTTTTGACCTCCCGGGACTTGCCCAGTTAGGCTGGTTTACCGGTTAGTGCCGAATAACCTCTTACGGCCCAAGTCCGATTAGCCCTTCCGGTTCAATTTTTCCTAAACTGTATCAAACTGATTGCACTAAAGAAATTTTGGGTTTCTAAAGTAGATTCCTTGTACTAATGAACTCCACTAATTCTTTGCTTTGTCTATAAGCTTCTAACTTTGAAGGCATCAAAACAAGAACAATACAGAGGCATTAGTAATTTATAATGCAAAAGAAGGATTGCAAGAAGTTCAGTACCAGGTTGTGCCTCATCTTATGAAGATGCCTTCCGCAATTCCTTTTTGTAGAAAGAGGAAAGGGAAGTACGTGATGTCACATGAGAAAATAGATTGAGAACAAATAATTTCATCATCACAATGTGTTCGAAAAATTCTAGGTGATTTCCTACAAGCCAGTAAAAACCTCAGTTAACAAAAGCAATAAATTCACTCATTATTCAAGAGCATCCTAGAATACAAAGCCTCAACCAAGAAGCATAGTAACTTTGGATAGATTGGATGGATGATATCCTTTGCCTGTAGAAGACAAGTTGTCAAGGAGACATATGAGGGTGAGCTACAGCAGTCACAAGCCTCCCATCATATGAGAATAATCCTCGTCGGCACCGGTTGTGACATGCAAAAAAATATCCATTTCAAACAACAATAGGCAACTGCACACAAATATTCCATCTTCGCGAGTGTGAAATCGGTTTATTAACAATCACGTCAGGACATTATGAAATATGGTCACCAGCAGTCAAGATTCATAATGTCTCCCTTGCCTTTTCGGTGCGTAAGTGGGGTCCAATCCAAAATTTATTGCAGTCGAAGGTTTGAAACTCCATCCATCAACCTCATGTTTGGGAAATGACAACCTGTAAGCTTGAAAATTTACAAAGATTCTAGAAATTATCTAAATTGCAAATCACTTAAAATGGAGATCTCACAGATAACAACAGGTATTTGGGAATTTCAGAGTTGCATGGGCATAATAGTGTTCCACAAATCTATAGATATTACAGCCTCTGTTTGGAGTGCCACATTTTAACTTCACCAATGGAACAATTTGTTGCAAGTTTATATAACAGTCAACTACATGATTAATTCTTTCCATAAGGGGCACAATCGACATGAAACACAAAAATTTTGAGATTGTGCAGCTAGTGGAGCATCTAACTACTAAAGTACGATGCATTGTGGAAGAGGGTTTCAAAGCCCAAAACATTCAGGCACTCAGGCTGCTAAGGAGTTGAAGAACATCCATGGGGCAGAACAGTATTTCAAGGTTGTCTGTACCCAAGATGCTGATTTCTCTTTTCAGAGGCTTAAAGAGTCTACAAAGACGCCATCAAGGAAGAAGTAAATAAGTAATGACACAAATCCTAATCCAGGTAGTTAGGATAGATTAAGGAAGACTCTAAATAATGCATGGTTTGCCCATGAACTATTCAGACTCAGACTTCAAGTCTGTGAAACCTATGCAATCGAATAAATGGAATTAGAAATTCATAAGTGGATGGGAACTCATATACTATGGTACATTCCAACATGGATTTGAAGACGGATGGATTCAATGAATAAAAGCATGTAGATCTAAACAAATCTTGTTTCCTTTTTGAAGAAAATAACTCAACTGTTATATATTGGTAACATAAAGTATTCTTCATGTATATCACAAACTTTTCTAATTCGACTAACTTTAAAGAAGGGTTCAGAGAAAGTGAACCAACATTTATAACAAAAGTTTCTATACTAACTAACCTCAGATAAGGGGAACCAAAATCGGAATTCCTTTTCAAAAAGAAAACAAAATCCTTCATAAGTTAATTCATAAATTGGAAGGTCTCAATTGAATGCCCCACTATACCAAATTCAATTCCAAATGTGAGGTTGGAAAGTTTTGGCAGAGAAAAGAAGCTACAAAATCGGCTACCAAATTACTTGAAAATTCATCAAACTTGGAAGGTAATGTGTGCAAGGAAATGTCTAGGGTGCCTAGGCACCCACCAATAGCAGGCCCACCTAAGCAAGCCACCTTGGCCTAGGTGAGGCGTATAGGCCTCAGGTTTCCTCAAGGTGTTATAGGCACCAAGGCAGATGTCTTTTGATACAATAAGTATGACAAAATATTTAGATGACACGGTAACTTCGGGGATTTTCCCTCTATCTATTAGAATAACAATAACATGTGGGGGCTCCTGAGAGGAAAACACAGGCTCAGTGAATTAACAGACAACCTAGAGTTGGACAGGATGGAATGCCATTTAAACTCATGAATAACACTTTGGACTGATTTATTATTTATACAATAAATCTATTTGAGATCATGAGATCAGTTCGAAACACCTTGAAGGACTTTAAGAAAGAAAATTTTCCAACGGATTGTTGCCAACAAAAGAAAGAGGATGACCTTGTCCAATGGAAGAAACGTGTCATCCATAGGAATAGAGAGATATTCGGTAGTTTGGATGCCAAATTGGTCAGTTGGTTAATAAAGAGTTGTTCGCCAAATGGGAAGGACATTGAAACTCGACGAACAAAGAACTATGGATTGAAGTTCCCTGGAATGAGTATGTGATCAATAGCACAACGACAGGGGAGATGAAAGAGGAGGAAGGTATGAGGAAGCAAGGGGCAATCAATGAAGTAGTGGATGTTTTCTCCGACAACTTATGAATAATGATCAGGGAGGGTCACCAGTGTTTTGGTAAGCAAACAAGAAGGGAATCCATTTCGCAGGAGTTTTCAAAGGGCAATGAAGATGATTCGAACCAGTATGGTATTTGGATGCTCACTTTAAAGAAGAATTTGTTTCGGAGAAGGCAAGTTTGAGAATATATTGACCCTTGCTAGGATAATGTTAGGACATGATGATGATATGAAGAACGATACAGCGGGCTTGGACTCAGTCAAAATCCATGGTAAGTGGTGTTCCTATAGAAACTTGGCGTATTTATAGAGTCATAGATAGAATGTATTACTCTAAAGAACACTAATATTTATATGCACACATAACATGGTCACATACACATTGCCAAGATATGCACACATTCTTTCAATTTAGTTCGCAGCACACCCATAATAAGGCTCTCCGAATTGACATACACCTTATGGGCTTATTTAGCAAGCCTCAAAACCCATAACAAACCACATGTAAACAATGCAACATACAACTATCTAAAGGATCAGAAAACCCCAAAAATCAGACACAAATTAAGTGAATCAACCATGACAATCCTTCTCAATTAATTCCCCTTACTCAAATTAAAACTAAATCAAAGCTTAAAAGTAGATAGACACAAGAAATGCACTTTGCATCTTTATTTTCATGATGATCACAGGTTTTCCAGGCCTAATAACATTTGTCAAGAAAATATTGCAGAAATATAATCTTTTAAAATGGAAAATGGACAAAAAAAGCATAGACGATTCCAGACAGCCACATAAAAAACCACCACTACAGATTAGGTTTCATGAGATGTAAGATGGTAAACCAAGAAAAATAAAACACAAAACATGGAGAGAAAGGGAAAGGGATGAATGGTACCTTTTATTACTTTGTTTTTCCTCTTCAACGATTTCCTTCTCGTCCTCTTAATTGAAAGAAACCCCGAACTGGTGTGTGTGTGTGTGTGAGTGAGTGAGTGAGAGAGAGATGGAGGGGAGGGGAGGGGAGGAGTGGAGAGAGAACAAAGCTGCAAGGGTTGGCTGATGAGGGCTAGGAAGGGCATGTAATCGTAATAAATAATAATAAGAGCGCGAGGGGATGCGTATTTTAGAAGGGGAGAGCGTAAAACGAGTTTTCACGAGGAGAGAGTAGGTTATGCTCTCGCGGGAGCATAGTGCACATATACTCCCTTGGCCAGAGTACCACTGGGTCATTTTTGTCATTATAAAATTTCGGGAATCACTTACAGAATTACTCGATGATTATTTTCAAAAGGAAAATTTTGAATCGTGAGTTTTGTAATACTTAGATCTTACTTTCTAACAATTGGATGGTTTATGGTAGACTTTTTTGTTTTCAAGTGCATAAAGAGCCGAATATCTTTATGGACAGCCAAGCGTGCATATGTAGTAATGCAGGTCGATTACTAAATCTAATTTTTTGATAAATTTTGAACTTAATTTTTAGGGATATGTAATCTCTAACATTGAGATCATGAATATGAAAAAATAAGTATATTTTTAAAATTAAAAATAATAATTTTAGTAAAACATATTTGGACCGTTAGTTTCTATTGTTTTTAGATAGAACACCTACTTGTATTCATTTTTAAGATGGATGCTTTACACTTTTAGGACCGCATATGTAGTCATGCGGTCCAGCCCACATGAGACAATTTTCCTATCTTTATTGGGATTAGCCTATGGCTTGAAAAGGTTACATCATCAAAATTTAACTTTTTAAAATGAAGTCTAGATTGGTTTTTTACTTGAAGGAGTAAATAGATATTATACTTCAAAAAGAATATAAAAGTTTTTGGCTTTTTATGCGAGGGAGAGAGAGAGGTGGGGAAATACATATGCTATGTAGCAGTGTTCGAAAAATCAAACCCTCCTTGGAAACCGACCAACGGCTGTGTCTGAGTAGCCAATAAACATATCGGTTGAACCGGCCTAACCGAGTAGGTTCTAGCCGGTCCAAAAAGTATTACAAAATCTAAAATAAAATATAAAAATTTTTAAAAAATATGAAAAGTGTATTTACAGCATGATTAAACAAAATATATCTAAATGAAGTTGAAAAATAGTGAAAAAATGGATTTTAAAAAAATCAATTTGTGCCTTGGAGTATTTTTAAAATTTTTAAAAAAATATAAAAACAAGTATTCATCGTCAAAAAACTTTCTAATATTTGTCAAAATAAAAATAAATAAATAAACTCAAAAACACATTACAAACAAATTCGTTATGTTTAGTGTTTTGTGTTTGAGCGCTATGTGGATGAGTTTTGTTTCGGAGCTATCTGGATGAGGATAGAAATAGAGACGACGGATTACATGTTTTGCGATTTTAAGCCTCTGAGAAGGTAAGGAAAAAGCACAAGACTTAACAATATGGAGGGCCACAAGCTTATCATGGTCCCCATGATATTTGGGACTACAATTACAATTATAAGGAATGGGGGTATATGTCCTTTTCCTTTTATAATTTAAAATGGGAAAATAACATAATCTCCCTTTTCCCATATGTTAGCCAAATAAACCCTCGAAGTCCACCAAAACCTCATGGGACTCGTGGCAATTTGCATGTCAAAGACCATCCTATCGTCATTTTTCTAAATATAATGGTTCTAACCTTCTTGAATCTTTAAGAGAGTGAAACCCAATTTAGTTTATGATATAGAGAGGGGATCAAGAAGTGAGCTTTTATTTCAAGTTTACACTAAATTGGATTTTATTTATTAAACATGGTTAGAAATGTAAAAGTTTTACATACCAAATGATGTGTGTGTGTTGGGGAATAGTGTTTTGGCCAAAAAATTACTTTGTGCGTATCGTGAAGTTTCTATAGATCCAAAGATTTAGTTGGCCACTAAATTTGGTGAAAGGGGGGCACGTCATTTTTCCTTTTATGTTTTGAAACATCAACATTTTGTTGATCACCCATGTGGGGAGAGTGTCTATAGCTGTCGATAAACTTAAATCTCGCCATAAAAAATGACGCACATTTTATTTTATTTATTTTTGTTCTTTTACTTGTGGTAGACATCCCACTCTGGCTAAGAGGATTGTCCCAAAAATATAAGGTTCAGACCTAGAGCCTTCTCAAACCTACCCCGGACCCAAAACCATGCTTTCAACCCACCAAAATACCCCAATGTGTGATGTTTAGGATTTACTAGGAATGATTTCAAAACAACATGGTTAGGTTAGGGCATCACAACGTGATATCTTGTGTTTTATTTCTACCACAGGTGAAGGACCACTTCCCAACTGAATTGCCTAAAAAATTCCCCATTTGTTAGCTTAAACTACAAGAGGGTAATGCAATAAAGTCTCTTCTCAATACACCCCATAGAACAACTTGAAAATGCAAAATAACTCCTAGCATTAACTAAACCCTAATTAAATTGGCTTAACCCCACTTAACCAAGATTTAAAACATACATAGGAACCCTAAACACTCTATTTTACCCCTAACCCTATGTAAAACCTTCCTAATTAGTTTAGAATCCAGCGTAGTTAGCCCAAGTCTACCCATATCTTAAACTTTAGATTTAGGCCCTGATTATCCCTTGACCATCCTAATTAATCAAAACCAAAAATTTGTCCCAATTAAAATAATTGAAAATAATAAAAAATGGTTTTTAAACCACACAAATGCTTAGCAGCAACAAAACGACACTAGACGATGAGTTTGGCTAGGTGGCTGGAAAGCGCTCTTGACAGAGACCCCGCGTCCACACTCAGGACCCAAGTTGTGCATACCCCTCATGGATCACGCACAACCCAGGTAGGGTCATGGTGAGATCAATGGCCTAGATTGGGTCATTGCCTTACCATATTTGTTTTGAGATATGCTTTGAGTTTTGAACGCAATTCTTTCGACCCATCCGGAAACTATGCCTCTACTTTGACTCAACCCTTGCCCCTAAAACCCTAGAAACCTAAACTCTGACATAGATTTATCCCTAATTCATCTAGGCTTCCTTGAAACCACAATGAGCTCAAGCTATCTCTACGATCCTCAAAGAAATTCTAAGAGCCCTTAAACTCAAGCTTATGGACTACCATGGCTAAGCCCTAGATTGTCGTGGTCCATCCTCACTTCAAAGGCTTCTCAATCTCTGAACAAGCATTGTCAAAATCAAGTGTCTGTAGCTCAGCACTATGACACTGATTGCTCTTTGATATGCTCTAACTCGGGTCCTACTCTGAGTGTCGGGCTAGTGTGCCAAGCTCACAAGTAGGCCCACTTATCTCTCTTTTTTTTCTTTTTTATTTTCTCTACTATTTGTCCAGTTTCATTTTATAATCTCTTTCAAAATCATTCTCTAAGCCTCCTCCCTATTTTCTAAACTTTTCTTGATATTTAGTCGATACAATTGGTGGACCACCGAAAATGAATCGAAAGATTGACTTTTTTTATGGTCATTTGATAGAACCCATTTTCTACCTTTGATATTGTATAAACAAAGGCAATGGAAGCTTTGCCCTTTCTTGCCTCTCAGTTTCACACAGAAAACAATAGTCACTAACCCTCGAGGTTACATATCCAAAACTTGAAGCCATAGAATTGGTTGGTTGGGTTTTACTAGAGTAAGTGTATAGTATGCTCCCACTAGAGTGTAGAATCTTTTGGCTAGGCATAATAAGCTAATAATGTTTAATATTTTGAGTTCTTGGACTTTTGGTGAACCATGGTCTAAAATGTAGTATAAGTTTTGATCATACTATACAATAACTACTAAGGCAAATAGCTACTTGTGAGAATTTTTTATTATTCAAGACGTTGGGATCCATCTGAATATCACTGAATGATTATTTTAAAAGAAAAAATATCGGTTTGAGTTCTTGAATATTTAGATTTTTCCCTCCAATAATTGGATGGTTCCTATGCAAACTTGGGTGATCATTTTTAAGGCACATGGAGAGTGAGAGTTTTTTTCTTTTTTTAGGTTGATATTATGTTTCCAAAATTTGGGATCTAAAAATTAAATCTACCATGTGTTTTTCCCTAAGGAGTAGATAGATAGTATACTCCTGTGGGAGAATCTTTTGTCAAGTGGTAAAGCAGGTGATCAAGTCTTTTTCAGACAAATCTATAGAGTCTTTTTCATACAAATCTATGGGAAAGTAGAATTTTGAAGTTAGAACATTTTTCACTGAGGGAGAAAGACAGGTTCAGAGAGAGAGAGGGGTTTCAGAGTTAGTGACAGAAACAGAAAGGGAGAGATGAGTAAGGGCCATCGAGGTTTACACTTACATTATCCCTAATTCTAACCATAATTTTTCAGTCTTTTAAGGAATTTGTTCGATTCCCTTTTGCAAACCTCAAATCTTAAAGAATAACAAAAAATTGTGTTTCAAAGATTAACTGAGTTTTCAGAGCTTCTTATAGCTCTCTAAACGTGCGTGTTAAGATTGATAGAGTGAGATTTTTGTTTGATAGAAGATTCAGATTTTTTTGTTCTCAACTTCAAAGAATACAAGAACCTTGGGTTTCTATTCATAGCTTGTTGATAGGAGAGAGCAAAAACATATTCCGAGAATTTTATTTGTCATTGGATTGATTTGGAGCTGGAATTCATAGAAACTGGAATTCATGTTCTCATTGATATTCTTAGAGTTACTTGTTGAATTGCGATGGACGTGGGTGTTTCATTTCTGAATGTGGGTTTATAGAATAAAGATGGATGATGTGAGATTTTCATTTTATATAGAAGTTTCATGTTATGTACATTCAATTTCAAAGAATACAAAAATCATGGGTTTTTGCGAAGTTAACGCTATATTCATAGGATATTGATGGGGACAACATAAACATATTCCTGGAATTTGTAGAAATTAAAACGCATAATGTTATTTTTTGATGATGGAGTTTGGTTCTATTGGAGTTTAGTTTGTTGAATATTATATTATCAAATTGGAGCTGGGGTTTCATATTCTTAACTACACTTCAGTCTTTCAAACCTAGGAGTATGCAGACAACAACATATGAGACCAAGGCTGCATTAGTTATAGTAGTTATGCATCAATATTGAAGATAACTAGAGATTTGGTACATGATTTGGACTG